ATGATCGGAAAATTCAAAAAAAACAACCGATTTTGACTCAATGATGGTCAAATCGTACAATCCTTTTTCCCCGAAAAGAATATGCGCATGAGCCCCATTGACCTGAAAGGAACAGAAAATAATTTTGCATGTTATATGGGGTAACTTTAGACTTGGTCGACCGATTTTCACCCGAAATCAATGATGGCACAATCGGCAATTACCGAGCGAACAAACGTTTCCGATTTTAAAAAAAATTGTTTCAGAATTTGAACCATGTTGAGCCGGCATAAAGGTTGGAGAAAGAATCCAAAGTGCCTATCAGTGAACATAGGCTTCTAACACTCCCACGAGTGATCAAATGCTGAAGAGATAGGAGAAAGCTAAAATGGAGGAAAAAGGTGGGAGTCCACAGGCTGCCAGAGAGAGGCAACCTACCTCCTCCATTGCAGTAATGCTGACATGGTTTGTTACAAGGCCTTAACAAAGTTCCTTTAATTATGACCCATCAAACTGGCAAACCTGATTTTTTTTTGTTCGTTTTGTTTTGTTTTGCAATGTTGCAGACCCAGCTCAGGAATATCCAAGTCTTGGCTTAGTATAAATCACATCTAATTTGTCTTATCCTGTACCTCAGTCAACCCCCAAAGCCGCACTAAATTAAATCCAATCACTGAATCACGTGCACAAACCATAAACACAAACCACTTTTTGGGGCACTCCAGAGCAAAATATAGGAGCTTTCTTGTGCTCCGAGGTCTCGTGCAGAGCCTGCTACATTAACAGAATTGCCATGATTAAGTATTATTTGATCCATAGTGTAAAGAAGCTTTATACATTGCAATCTTTTTATCCTTTGATGTCCAAAAATGAAATCCCTTTATTGTCTGCAAAGTGCATCTTTACATGAAATAAACCAAAAAACTGCACCCTTTAGAATACATTAAGAATTTAATAAATTGTAACTGCGCTCGTTTAGGAAAAAATCTGTAATGACAGTAAATGGTTCCCCTGATAAAGACGGGCAGGATGCAGCAAATCTCTGGAGCTGCAAGTGTAAAATACATCTATGAGGGCAGATAAGTACTTGTCCTGGATGAATATATTGTCTGATTTATACCTAATAGTAGAGTAGAAGCAAAGATTGTAATAGACCCCTAATCCTGATTGTCACATCTTACAACCTGTTATTACAGAAGGTTTCTAAAAGCTACATATATTACTGCAATGAATATCAGAAAATGCATACTATATTATTATTATTATTGTTGTATTTTTTATCAGTGTTGGAAAAAAGACCAGTAACCAGGTAGTTAAAACCGTTCTCATGGGCAAATAAACTCATCACCCTCCAAACACGGAAAGGTTACTTCACAGTGAGAGCTGTGATCAAAATGAATATACTCCCTCAAGAGTTGGTTTCTGGCCAACTTAGTGATTTGCTTTACAGAACGGCCTGGATTAGCGAGGTTTTCTTGATACACATGTCAAAGAAGCACACCCTTGGGTGATGCTTGGCTAGATATATAGGTTCCATACTCCCACCTGAATCTGGTGACACTTCTGATTATACCCAGAAACTCTCAACTCCGACACTCTGAAGAATATTTTTTTAATGGGTTTTATTGAAGAAGACAAACCCTGAAAAAGAACTAGCTGATTTAACACAGGTAATGTACATAAACACAGATAACCACTTTGCATAACACAGTTAGTAAGAAGTCACCAATTCACATTGCCCAAAGACTCAAAAAAACTGACTAGTATCACACTGACTAGGATGGACATATGAGAGTGACATTCATACATGAAACAATAACTGTTAATGAGATTTTAGTTAGCAGCTTATTGACATTTGTCTATAACAGTACTATCTAAAGCAAAAATAGTTCCTACCTAACCACTGGCCAGTGGGATGAAACTTTAAAGTCTCTCAACGTTGGGCCCTTTAATCAATGGAAGAGCGCTCACTCTCTGAATGGGAGAGTATTTGTAATCCAGGGTAGCAGGAATAGCACAGACTCCTTTAAGCAGAATCTAACTTCCAGTGAACATTGCAATAGAAGAAATACAACACTTCAACAAATCTTTACCATACAGGTGAAATCCCTGATGTACTGACACTTGCTCAGTATATTTCAAAGCAGCAAGCTTCTGTGGGACTTGGAACTAAACATCACTCTTCAGCCATAGCACAAATTTTTTGAGGAGACAAACCAGTAATAGACAGAGCCCCCCCCAGAGTTCTCTCATCAATCAGCAGTAAAGAATAGCTAATTCTGATCAGCTTGGGCTTTCCAAGATCTGTGTCACTCGAGAATTAGAGAGCAGGCTTTCTCATGACAGACCATTCTCCAGATATAACAGCAAATGCAGCAATATCAAATCCAATTTCATCACAGAGTAATCACTGTTTCTGGATTGTCCTCTAGATAGCATTAGACTGTAATCCTGAGCGTCAGGCAGGATAATCCTTGATTTGCACACTGTCCTCCTGCAACAATTCCTCTGCTACACACACTCCCAGCCAAGACTTTACACCAGGAGCCCCCTTTCTCCATGCGGTCCCCTGAAAATGTCTGCCTCCCCACATGTGTTAATTCTTCCTTTTTCCTCCCTCCTTTTCCTCCACAGCCAATCATAAGTTCAGCTGCAACAGTGCTGCTATGGGTAGATCCTTCTCAGCTGTAGCAAACCACCAATCAGAGCACAGTCCTGCTTTTCCTGTCTGTCACTCAAAACGAGGGAAAAGAAAAAAAATGCTTTGCAACTGCTGTTTAAGATTTAAAGCAACCAGCACATCTCTACATACAGAATATAACTGGTTACTATTTATAGGTAAAGTTGATCCAGGGAATATCCAATTGCCTCTCGGGGGATCAGGAAGTAATTTGTCCCGTGCAGGAGTAAATTGGATCATGCTTTGCTGGGTTTTTCTGCCTTCCTCTGGATCAACTATGGTTGTAGGATTATAGCTTTTATGGTTGAACTGGATGGACTGTCTTTTTTCAGCCAGACTAACTATGTAAGTAATATGGTACAACAAATATATAAAGGGCGTCGTAATGATGAAGAGTGTTCTGGTCTACTAACTGATGCAAGATTCTTTGTAGCCACTGGTACTCTGCTTCTTTGCTGTAGAAGGATTGTGGGTACTGCAATACAGGAAGGCGGCTATGAATTACTCCTTGAGATGGGTGATCTTACAGGTGCAAAATGAATACACAATGAAGATAATGGCAAGGATTTTTTGTCAGCACCTCACATCAATTTTTTGAGACTATATACCATATTAGTCTGGCCAGCTCAGTGGATTGCTTCAAAAAAGTCCTGGATTGTTTCTTAGATACACAGAATATAACTGGATACTAACATTTATAGGTAAAGTTGATCCAGGGAATATCCAATTGCCTCTTGAGAGATCAGGAAGTATTTTTTTTCCCAGCAGGAGCAAATTGGATCATGCTTTGCTGGGGTTTTTTTGCCTTCCTCTGGATCAACTGTGGGTGTAGGATTATAATTTTTTTTTTCTATGATTGAACTGGATGGACTTTTGTCTTTTTTCAGCCAGACTAACTATGTAACTATGTAACCCCCTTCAAGCTCCCTTCAAGCTACCCATATGTCAGCCCCTTGAATTCTTCATCAGCACAACTTCCCTATTCAATGACCAGTGATCCAGTGCTGTAGTCTGTGGTCACACCATCTGTTTGCCATTATTGTGAAAGGTCAATCCCGGGGGCTGAAAGGACCCTGCAGCTGGACAGGGACTAAAGAGTGCCCATGTCACACAGGCACTAACTTCAGCATCTGATGAAGGATCTTCAGACTCTGTAGTGAAGAAGAAAGAGAACTCAGAACTTGGCATATGTTAAAAATGGATTTGGGAAAATAAATTGGGTGTTTAGACTTTTTTTAAAAGCTAGCTCAGCTTTTTTTTGTTGGGGAGGGGAGGTTAATTAGTCTGCAACAAGCAGGCAACTGATATCGGAACTCCTGATCGACCCACGTGTTTGGGTCATTAATTTAGAAAGTATTGAAGCCAGACAGTCAACATTTTCAGGGGGTTGTCATCAATGGCAGCCACCATATTTGATTCATAGCATGTTTCCTTTAAAAACGCATGCATGATGACTTCTCTTGGATGGACTACTATTTATTTATTATAGGTACTTATAGAGTGCTGTCAATCTATGCAGTGCTTTACAAATATATTGTACATTCACATCAGTCCCTAACCCTCAAGGGGTGTACAATCTAAGGTCCCTGTAACGGAAGCGTAGGCAGGACAGAGCACACGGAGAAGATGGGGAACACACAAAACTTTATTGAAACAACAACAAATTGACAGACACTCAATAGGGAAATGGCAGGGAGGGTGATGTGTGCGCAAACCAGGGACAATTCCAGGCACAGGGGGGGTCTTCAGGCAATCTCCCCCCTTTAGGCTTGGGGCCTCAGCCGGGCTCCCTCTGTGACTGGACAGCGGATTGGAGACTCGGGCAACAGGCGACAATCTACCCCTGGGCAGGGGCACGGGCAACAGACGGCAACCTACCACTGGGCAGGGGCCTCGGGCAACAGAAGGCAATCTACCCCTCAACAGGGGCTCGGGCAACAGACGGCAACCTACCACTGGGCAGGGGCCTCGGGCAACAGACGGCAACCTACCACTGGGCAGGGGCCTCGGGCAACAGAAGGCAATCTACCCCTCAACAGGGGCTCGGGCAACAGACAGCAACCTACCACTGGGCAGGGGCCTCGGGCAACAGACAGCAACCTACCACTGGGCAGGGGCCTCGGGGACTCAACGGGACTCTAGCTGTGGAGGCTGGCCACAGCACAGCTCCCACCCAGCTTTCTAGGGTCATTGGGTTCACGGGAACTCAACAGGTAGCGATGGCTCAAGCACTCAGGGGCACCACAGGTAGCTATACTCTGGGCATGCCATCAGGACACGGGTGGTCAGTGCACACACAGCGGGGCGGTTCGGAACACGGGTGGTCGGTGCACACATCAGGGACAGTTCAGGACACGGGTGGTCAGTGCACACAGCAGGAACAGTTCAGGACACGGGTGGTCAGTGCACGCAACAGGAACAGTTCAGGACACAGGTGGTCAGTGCACACAGCGGGGACAGTTCAGGACACGGGTGGTCAGTGCGCACAACAGGAACAGTTCAGGACACGGGTGGTCAGTGCGCACAACAGGAACAGTTCAGGACACGGGTGGTCAGTGCACGCAACAGGAACAGTTCAGGACACAGGTGGTCAGTGCACCCAGCGGGGACAATTCAGGACACGGGTGGTCAGTGCGCACAACAGGAACAGTTCAGGACACAGGTGGTCAGTGCGCACAACAGGAACAGTTCAGGACACGGGTGGTCAGTGCGCACAACAGGAACAGTTCAGGGCACTCACGGTAAGCAGCTTGCAGACCCTCAGCGGCAGGCGGCTCCAGACAGGGATGACCAGCAGTCAGCGTTCCAGGGACAACCAGCGATCAGCAGACAGTAGCAGCTCCCAGGGCACTCAGCAGAAGACAGCCTCCAGGGACACGCAGCCACGGATAGTATGCAGGCCCCCTCAGCAACAACTCCCAGGGCACTCAGCAGCAGACAGGGTGCAAGGGTGCTCAGTAGACAGGCTTACAGACTGGCAGGGTCTCAGTTGTGGGGTCTGACCTTTGAGGAGAAGGCTCATGCAGAGCTGTGGAGACTGCCAACCCCGAGGTATTGCAGAGGGCTACAGTCCTGACCTTTTGGGGGTCTGCAGAGCGCGCGCAGGGGGGATGGCTGGGGAGACTCGGTCCCCCTCACCCGAGCCTCCCAGCATTTTTCTGGGAGCAGGATGATTCTACTCACATGGCCAGGAACAAAAGGGAAGGCTGCTTCCTGTGTGGGTCTCTTGAAGATCATGTGGGACGCGGCTAGGTTGCCTCGGCAACGGCTGGCCCAGCCCTGTCCATGGAAGCCCCACAGACCTTCTAATGTATAAGGGGGAAGGGAGGGGTGGAGGAATATGGCGGGGGATGGGAGAGGCACTGGCAGTCCGTGACAGTCCCTAACTCACATTCATACATACACATACTAGGGCCAATTTAGATAGGATTCAATTAACCTATCAGCATGTCTTTGGAATGTGGAAGGAAACCCACACAGGCACAGGGAGAACATGCAAACTCCAGACAGGTGGTGCTGTGGCTGGGATTTGAACCAACGCCCCTAGTACTGTCAGGTGGAAGTGCTAATCATTTAGCCACTGTGCTGCCAACTATGTCAGCATTATTTTGATTCTTCTTTATTTCCTGTTATTAAAAATAATGTTGGTAATACTAATAATATTAACATTGTCACTATGAGTGGCAATCACAGTAGTAAAAACAAGCTAAATTTGTAACTCTATCACTATGCCAGATCTTCCCATACATTTTATACAGTTTTTTTTGTTTGTTTTTTTAAGAAAAAATTAAACACACATCTCTAATAGCCATCACTATGACGGGAGCCTCACTGTCCAGTAAGAATGTGCATGAGGCAGGAAGGGGTGGGTAACCTTCAGCACTATCAGGAAGGACTTTGGCTTTCCCTGTCAACAAAGCCTAACATTCAACTCTAGTGACAGGGCTGCTTTAGGTATCTGCACCTCATACCCAGTAGCTGTATCAGTTTCAGGTCTCACTTTGAGAAATGTCCAACTACAGATACAAACAGATGCCGTCTAATTTATTGAAAAAAGCACAACATATACTAAATTGTGACCTTTTCCTCTAGGAAGAATTTGAGATGTTGTCATGTTGGAATACAGTGTCCATGTACAGTAATTGTGCAACAACTACATCAGTATTCAGTAGAGATATATTCTTCAACCAGTATATGGCAGTGTTTATAAGTTTGTAGCTGCATCTATGGTATGCTCTTTGTCTTTTCTATGAATAACGTTTTCTGTTTCCTTGTGGCAGTGAAGCAGAAAAGCACACGTGGACTGTGCACTGTTTGTATATACAGAATTTCTAACATTTTGATAAGCTGCATGTAAGTTGACCTCAGACTTTGTACACAAGTTTGGAAGTAATGAAACAGCTAATTACAGGAGCAGGGGAATGAGGTTTCTGGGAAGTTATCTACTGTACATTTACGTATGTTGGTTTTGTTTTGGCAGTCATATAATATTAGGGTTGGCTGAACAGTGAAAGATACATTTAAAGGTAAATGGTTTAGTAAGTGGAGCATTAAAGCAGAACTAAATGCAAACATCATTTTTTATTTTGGATAGAGTAAGAAAGGGTTATAACCCCTCTCAAGTTTTTTTTTGTTTGTCATCTGTGTCCCATTGCAGAGATTACCCTTAACTTCTGTCCCCAAAACAGGAAGTGAGAGGAAATCCCTTCAAATTGAGAGGGGAAAATTATCCCCTCGCTCTTAATTAATTGCTATGTTAGACAAAAATCGTAAGCTAAAAGGTCCTTTTACTTACCTGAATCCAACGCGATGGGCTGTGCAAGGTGCTGAATCTTCTAGCTTCCACACTGCCTTTTTCAGTTGTCCACATCAGTGCTTGGGTTACAAGGACCCATCCTGTAATCCACATGTGTCAAACACAAAGCCCACGAGCCAAAGTTTTGGAATTTTTATTTATATAGCAAAAAAAAAATAAAAAATCCAGTGGTGAAATAAATACCACCAAAAAATAAAGTTTTATGTGTCTCAAAAAAATGCTAAAGAATGAATATGGGTACAGTGTTGAATGACCACGCAGTTGTCATTCAAAGTGTGATAGCACTGAAAGCTGAAAATTGGCCTGGACAAGAAGGGGGTGAGTGTCTGGACTTGAACTGGTTAAAACGGAATGGAATCTGCAGTGGCTCCTGAAAATGTTTGCCATTGCACAGCAAACTTACACATTACTGTACCCTCCAACGTTCCCTCCTCCAACAATGTGGGGTCAGCCCACAACCTTCTGGTCTTCTTCTGCGTCTAGAGTATTCCCATTCCCCATTGAAATATTTATATACATATTCACACATTTTTTTATAGAACCTATATATAATGTCTGTATAAAGTCTGTATTTTTGCACATACAGTACATAGGCTCTTAATCCATTTTGTTTATTTATTTATCTGTTATCATTCCTAATGAAACATTTAAAGGATAGGTTCACCTTTTGGAGCATGTTACACATTACACCCATATTTAGGGTGCAATGTTTAACAAACCTCCGTAGCGGGCTTTACATTGTAAGTGGATTGCTTTAACTGGTTTGCTTCTATTAAAGTGGATATACACTTCCTTTGGAGTATCTGTTTACTTTTCCTGGAGTGAATTGGTGTGTTCTCTTCAGAGAGAGTGCATATTAGAGAGCCTTGAAACCACAGGCACAGTGTCCCTGTTTTTATTTATTTCCATAAAAGGGTTTGGGTTCAAGTAATATGGAATTTCTCCCATTATCTTTACATGACTTAAGCAGCCCATAGTTTATGCAAATTTCTTTCATTCATCACAATGGGTGGAAGGAAAAGAAGATTGCTCAGTTTTCTCCCATCAACACAGTCAGAGTTGATGGGGGAATTCCTCCTGCAACGCTATTGTGATTTGCCGGCAGGGAGTCTTCCCTGCCAGCAGAAAACAATGATTAGTGTTGCCAGCTATACTTGGCCGCCCTAATCATTCAGGAAAAAACAAACAGGCTGGTTGTACACAAGTTTTTGATCAATACATCGACTTGTGTACAACCAGAGTACCCATACTTGGATTGAAATTTGGCCAGTCCCTGCTGAACTGGCTGAATTTCGATCCATGTATGGCGAGCTTTAGCCCAATGGTTGGAAGTTTAGACCATTACAGGTTTTCCTACCTGCATTATTTTGTGAGCCTTCCCATGGTTTTTACACCACCGTACTGTGCGTGCTTGCCCTCTTTTTCCTTTTTTTCACCATTCTATATAGGTTTATGGTTTATGCCAGCAGCAAGCAGTGTGGACACTTTACATAAACCACATTGAGCTTGTTTTGGCACCTAGATATCTACACATGTTCCATTCCCCAGCTGGGCCCTCGCCCCTGATGATGTAATAACTGCGAATGCAGCCTGAAGTTACATCATTCAAGCACCTGGCTCCATTTTTTGACACTGTACAGATGCCGGGAATCATCCTTTCTGAGTGTATATTGCACTGTGCAGTGTACATTAACAAAAATTAAAAACTATTTTAACCACTTGAGCTCCTGAGGATTTACCCCCCTTAATGACCAGGCCTCTTTTTGCGCACTTACTCGGCGCTGCACTAATTCAACTGATAATTGGCGGTCATGCAATGCTGCACCCATAAAAACGAAATTTATGTCCTTTTTTTCACACAAATAGAGCTTTCTTTCGGTTTGTTTTGGTAAATTTTGTTTTTTGTTGATCCCCTGTGATTTGGGTTTCCCCTGTTTTTTATTTTTCACACTATAAACAAAAAATTTATGAAGAAAGGGAAGAAAAAAAAAAAAGAAAAAAATTTTGAAGAAAAACAATATATTTTTTATTTTCAGCTATAAAAAATATATAGTAAAACTCAAAGTTGGTTATAAATTTAGGCCAAAATGTATTCCTGCTACTTATGTTTTTTGGTAAAAAAAATCCCAATAAGTGTATATTGATTGCTTTTTTGAGGGGAAGTTATAGCATCTACAAACTATGGTATTAAATACTGCAATTTACGCCATTTTTTTTTGCTATACAGCGCTGCGCTAGTAGTTTAATGGACAATTGCGGCTAGCGGTCATGAAATATGGTACATTACAGTTTTAAATACTGAAAATTACATCTTGTGTTATGTTTTTTTCCCCACAAATTGAGCTTTTTTCCGGTTGTGGTATTTGATCGCCTGTGCGGTTTTATTTTTTGCCACAGCAGTGCGCTATATAAAAAAAAGGCTGACAATTTTGAGGGACAAAAAACAATATTTTGGACTTTTTGCTATAAAATCTGAATGTCCAGTGAAAAAAAAATGCAAAAACAAAAATTTTTAGTCATAAATTTCTGCCAAAATGCATTCTGCGGACATGTCTTTTGCTAATCAGCCTGCAGGAGATTAAAAAAAAACCCAATACGTGTAAATTAATTGGTTTACGTGAAAGTTATAGCGTTTACAAATGGCGGGAAAGATACTGGGATTTTTAGGGTATTTTTTATACTAATAATGGCGGCGGTGCGTTTAAGTTATTATGGCGGCGATCAGGGACTTATGGCAGCGACCAGCGACTTATGTTTTTGGACTGCGGCGGACATTTGTTGACATTGAAGATTAACACACTTTACTGACTGTGGGGGTTGACCTCCCCAAACTACATGTAATCAGTTGCAAAATTTAATATTTTTGACATCCCTAGTGTTAAAAACATCTTTCTTTTCTTTTTATAGACATGCGGGGGTGTTATTATCAGTGCAGGGACAAATGCCCCCCGTGCAATTATTTTGGGGGTGGGGGGGGGTTTTTGGGGGGGAGTTTTTTGTTTATGGGGGGGGTTTTTTTTTTGGGGGGGGGGGTGGGTGGGTTTTTGGTTTATTGTGTAGATATTGGAGGTGAGGGTGGGTTTGGAATACATATGGTGGGGGGGTTATTTTTTAAAGTATTTTGATATAGGGTGGTAAAGGGTAGTGGGGTGTGCGCCCCCTATATTTTTACAAAACACACGTCTTAGAAATAATTTTTTGGTTTTGCCTGTGAGTGCCGCCCTGCCGCCGTGAATATGTACAGTGGAATTTGGTGGCATGTAGGTTAACAGCAATTAAAAACTATTTTTTGCAGAAGAGGTTTATAAAGTAAATCGTAATACAAAACAAATGTAAGCTGCAAACAAATTTTTATTTATTTT